TATGGATTTGGCAGAAATGGCAAAATTGACCTTGTTTGATCAGGGATAATACAAGTACTTTTATCAGAGACTGGAAACCTCTTTTGGACTTTTTGCTGAAAATGGAAAAAAGATGAACTGGTGATTTATGGATCTGCTGATTGGAAAGGGTTGAATATAGGAAGAAGAGAATTAGGATGTAATTTTAATGAGGGGGGAATGAGGATAAGATTGTTGTAACTGCTGTAAAGAAGATTGGTAGTTGCTTCTTTACATATCTTTTTTTTCCCTCTTTGTATCTTTCTTTACTCTTTATTTTCTTACTTCGCATTTTTCTTTTTTCTTTGTTTTTCTTTACTTTAACTCTATATTATTTTATGTTTATGTTTTATTTCTGTGAAAAATTCTCAATAAAAATTAAATTAAAAAAAAGGAAAAGGAAGACCATTTCAGCAGAATTTTAAAAATTACTGGAAGCATATTTGGGAAATAATGTTATTTGCCACCAAACTTAACAAAGCCAGCTGGCTGCAACAAACTATAGGTGATCACCTCTACAGATAAAGCTTTGTTTTCATCTGCTTGCTTGGCATTACCAAGACTCATTTGTTAATTCCCATGATTCTGTGGTCACAACATGACATTGTAGCAGCCTTGCTCTATGAGAGCATCCTAATGTGAACCTGCAAGAAACAGTGGTATACATGGCTCCTCTTTAAAAAACAAAAACATGCACACTCATACATAGACATTATTCCGTGTAAAAAATGAGCACCATGATTCCTATGAAATTTTACATGGAAATAAATCTCATTTAGTTCAACATACTTCCAAATACACACATGAAGGACTTGTAGCTTTATTTGATCTACTGCATATTATCTGGATTTTACTAACAGATAAGAATAAATAAGATGATCACCTTTGTTGCAATCTTTGCAGAGTTATTTTTTTATAAGCTTTGCTGGAATACTACATATACAGGCACTAAGCATTCATTTAGAAGCAGGCAACCTGTGGCCCAGAGCCTCATGTAACCTCAAGTCTCTTCAGTGGCCTTCAGAGCCCCTAGCTGACCAGGACTGCTGAAGACTGCTGCTATTTTGAGGTGGGAAATATATGAAAACTATAGGGTAAACCCTCAAATAGGCATATCACAATTTAAAGAATAATCTTCTTAATTCATTGCCTCTTGTTGGATGTGTTTCTGTATGTTTTGTATTGAGTGGCCAGATCTCATCTTGTTTCTCTATTTTGTACTGTGTTTTTATCTTGTTTTTTGCTATACTGTGAGTAACCCAGTGTTGGTTTGGAGTCAGGCGGTGCCTAAATAGAATGAATGAATGAATGATACTGATTCCTCTTTATCCCAGAAAGCTAGGGTAAATATCAGAGGTGATGGGAGCTGTACTCAAGGTTCTGATAAAGATATTTATACTGTGTCGTCATCATACCAGTGATCTATCTAGACCGGAGTAAACCTTACTGTTATTTCTTCATGGCATCAGATTGTTCACATCAAATGAGGTATAATTCATGTTTCTTTGTTTCCCATGCAATGTTAAGATCCCATCAGAGAACTAATCTGAAGACAAGAAGCTTTTCAGTTTGGAAATAGTGAGAAGTATTTGCCAACATACTTTTAGGTAAATCTCCCTGATATTAGTGAATGCCACAGGAAAGAAACCATTATTTTCAATTTACAAATACGTATACCTTGTAGCCACCTCCCTGCATTCATTGTAAGAATGCACGTATGGGAAAATAACGTAACAATGGCCTTAAGATCCCAATAATTTGAGATGCAGGAGATCAAAAAGACTATGCAATGAAATACTAAGTTATGGCCCTTCCAAGCTGATTTCTTGAAAAATTCCTACAGTTTTAAAACTTCCTCCTGCTATTGTGCTCTTCATGTTGAATCTTCCACGAATAAGACAACAAACTAGTCCACTGAGACATGTGCTGTGCAAAGCTTATTGGATGCTTAGCTACTTCACTAGAAGCCCCACAGGGCAATTCCTTTGCTTTAACAACAATATCTTGTTATTAGGCAGATGAATACACAATCCTCATAGGGCTATAATCTCATAGAATGGAGTGAAATTCCTTTCTGCCAATTTTATGCTAATACATCTCTGACGATTCCATGTCAGTCACTTGTGCAGTCTTGCCCTAGGAACCAGTGGTGCCATATTGAAGTTCCATGGGAAGATCTCAAAATAGAAAGATCATTGTGAAGGCTGACATATTAGACATCAGGCTTTACTTCCACCCCAGCATTCTTTAATGGCTCTGACCCCATGCCTTAGAAGGCAGTTGCTTTCCAAAAAACTTGCTGTTTGGAGCTAACTGACATCATGGGGATTGGTCTAGCTGTGTAATGTTTGCAAAGAGATCTTGGGCCTGTATTTCAATTTTTTGATGCTGGTGTGTCCTTTCCAAACTCTCTTTGTCTGGGGCTTCTTAATGCCTACATGTGAGGATCTAGCCACCCATTTTCCCTACCTAGCATTACTTAACAGTAAGTGCTTATGAGTCCCTTGATCCTAGATCCTGAAACAAGGAGTCCTAATAGACCTAAATTATTGCAATAAGGCAAGATGCTATCTGAACTCCCCCCCCCCAAAATTTCCTTACAGAAAAGTACTTATTTGAAAAACAGTCCAACAGATGAAAAAGAAATTATCTGTGTGATTTTTCTGTTTGCAAATCCTGTACTTGCTGAGTGTGCTGACCTGAAAAATCATTAACTTGGAGTTGATCAATCAGGATTCTACTTCAGCGGGCTGCAATTTTCCTCTGACACATGCATGTATTCATGCCTTTCACCAATTGCCACAGCTGTAGCTCCTGCCCTTTATCCAGGACGATCAAAGGTTATAGCTCAACAGTCCCTTATACATTATTGGAATGGGGAAGACCATTTAATAAAGTAACACAATGTCTTGGATGTCTTGGGTAGTTGTTGGCAAGATTGATTTTTAGATATTAAAAAACTCTAAGACTAGTCGATTAGATTCCTTTTACTCTAAAAAAAATAACATTTTGGAAAGAGCAACAGACATGTCAAGTTATTGGAGATCTGTTTTGAACTGGGTCCTGAGTTTCTGAGACAGCGTGTCTGGAAGACAGGAATGCCAACAAATGTTAATAGCAAATCCTGTCAGTAACAAATATGGAATCCCAAACAAACAAAAATGGATCCTCTGTTCTGCCAGTATGCATGTGTGTCTGTGTGTGTGTCTGTGTGTGTGTGTGTGTGTGTGTAGGTAGGGAGGTATGTTTCTTACCATATGAGAAAAAGGAGAAGGCCAGGAAACTCTCAGTAAAAATTCTCCCAATAGGTGAATTCTTAGATTACCCAGTTTTCTAACTGGGTGTAGTATGTCTACATGTACCAGTTCTGGAGACCTCTTGATCTGCCTAAAGATTTCTTCTTAGACATCCTAGTATTAAAATGTTATGCAAGTGTATTTGAAAAGTGTTCCACTATTCAATGGAGTTTGCTCACAAGTAAGAAACCCTAAAGTATGCAAGAGGGATGTAAAGAGTGAAATATCATTAGCAGGTAAAGAATATGGAAAATGGGCCAAATCAGAAGTAAAGGCAGAAATTATCTCAGGATGTGCTCCTACCTTCCTTCCCTGGCTCAGGTTCTGTTCCTTTGAATCGCCCTTCAGATCTGGCATCCACTACCTGAAACCGCTTGGATTCCATGTTCTCCACCATGTCTTCATAGGTCTTCAGGAGGGACCTGTTAAGGGTGGCTTTAAAGGCAGATGGCTCTGGCCGGGTGATCTCCGATGTCACCGGGTGACCCTCCTTCACCCAGTTTTTGAGCCCCCCATTCAGCACTGAAACAGTTCGGTGCCCAAAGACTCGAAACATCCACCATGCCCGTGGTGCATAGAAGGTGCCCAAGTTGTCTCCATCATACACAATTACATGTGTGTCGTTGCCAATACCCAAGTGGCCAACGTAATCGGCAAAGTGTTTCTCACTGGGCAGCATCAGCTCATAAGGGGATGACTTGTCTTTGCATTCTTCAATATCAAAAAAAGAGGCACCAGGTACATGCTGTTCTTGGAATTCTTTCTGGGCATCTCTTGTTCCAGGTTCATACCAGGAAGCATCCAAGACCCGCAACTCGGGGCCGATCTTTTTGGCTTGGACAGCTTCTGCTAACCATTTGGTGGAAACCAGAGCTCTGTATAATGCTTGCTGCACCATGGTAGGGAAAGCTTTTTAGATGAGTGAATTCAAAAGAGAAGAATGGCATGTACAGAAAGGGGAGGTTCTCAGCCCAGGCTCCAATGTCTGGTTACCTAACCAATCAACTAAGAAAGGGCGGAGAAAGAACCCTAAGCCACATTCATTTCTATTCAGGTCTGCACTTTGGACTGACACAGGCTTACCCACAATCAGCTGCCAATCCCCAAATCTCTCCCTCCCTCCAGTACTTGGCCAGTTTTGAGAAACTCAAATAAATGTTTAGAGGAAGCAAAACTATTGCAGCTCCTTCCAGGGCTTTTTTTATTAATTTCCCTCCCACTCTTACACAAGAACCAGAGGGCGAGAACATTAGCCGGCTTTTGGGGATGTGCTGTAACAAGACAAGACATTCATTATGTTCAGAGTCAGTGATCGTGCAAAAGTAAACTGGCTCAGTCAGAAGTGGGGCAAAGGGCAAACTTGAAAGAGGAAACCAGCACTGAGAAACTCAGTAAGGCAAGAAAGTGGGGTCCCAAAGGGCAAAGTGTGTAAGAGGAAACTTTGTAAGAGAAGCTGGTGTACCAGCCTGAAACATCCAGCTGGATGTATTTCGAAATACATCCAGCTTTGTAAGTGGAGCAGTGTGACTACTTAGGAATGGCTATGATATAGCAACCCTGCACTGCATGTGTATTTTTCCACAGCTCATTTGATAAGAGGGAGCCAAATCATTAGAGGGAGCTAGCGAGATACTGTTGAGTCTTAAACTTTGCAGGTTCTGAAATAAGACCTATAATTCTCCTATCCTGAACACGCTTATGGGAAGGAGGTAGCAGAAGTGGTGGGCTTCATTTTTAAAGAAAAACGAGAGACTTGCAGTATAAGACCGAGTTCTACAGTTTTGTGAGGCTGTGGGAATACAGCAGCCTGCACTGATCTGGAGTTTATATGTGTTGAACTATGATTCCCATTGTCCCCAGATATAACAAAGCTCTGTTGGAGAAGAGATTCATCTTGGATAAAGGGTGAGTTGAGGTTTTGGGGGGAAATTGATGCTAACGGTGAATTGAGGTTTTGGGGGGGACAGTGATGTTAAATGATTGACTCAAGGTCATGAGGGAAGTCTGTGGCAGAATGAAGACTCTAAAGCAGATAACAAGTATGGAAGTAATTAGTGCCGAGATTATCTCGCCCGGTCCTCTTCAGGGCAAGGTTATCTGCAACCTCTCTCCCCTTCCCCGGACTCCTCCTCCTCCTCCTTACTACTGAGAGCGCGAAGGACTAAAGACTTTTTCGAGAGGAGTTGAGCTTTTCGCAAGGGCACCGTTTGGCTTTCAAATATCGTGGCTGGCGGAGGAGACGAGACGTCTTTTAGTTTGCCTTCGTAGCCCAAGTCCGCATGGAAACTCGGGCGAGGCGTTGACCGGAACGCGTTCGAAGAAACGCGCCTCGCCCAGAAACTGCCCGCGCGGAAGGAAAGCGCTCCACGCCTTCTTCTTCTGGACTCCGCAATCTGTTATTCCAGGAAGTGATTGGTAGGGGGGAATCAAATCAGATTTTTAGTTCCCCTCCAAAGGAAGCGGCTCAAGGGGCGAGTAGCTGGTCAGATGTCATGAGAATAAGAGAAGAAAGGCGTGAGTGGTTCCAGTTAGATGAGGGACCGATCTCCACGTTCGGGTGAGTGGTTTTCTGATAATTCTTCCCCCCTCTTTTTTGCACCAGTTGGTTCGCCCCATCAAGCCTTCCTTTCACTGGATATCAAAGTGGGACGTGGTCCTTATCTCCACCCTGGAGGTAGAGTAAGGAAGGAGGAAGCAGCAGGTGGAGGGAGCCGGCTTGGGCGCCACGCTTTGAAGATTCAGCAGCCAGCGAGCCATCCGTGGTACCCGAAGGCGCCGAGGTAAGGGGAGAGGA